CCTACACTCGGAAGGAGGCTGGATTCAGCGGTCTTTTATCAGGGCAAAGCTGGAGCACATTGATCTTCAAGTCATGTCATTTCTTTCTTTCTTTCATCTTCAGGCTTCCACCATCCCTTCTCCCTTCTTTTTGCTCAGTTTGGAAATATCATCCTGGGATATGAAAGGAAACCACTCTGTGTCCAGATAGATGTAGCAGTGGAATTGTATGAGCTGAGGTGGGACTCTGTATTGGCAGATCTTCAGCCTTGGAGACTTAAAATTGCACCTGTCCTGTCCACGTTACCAGACCTCCGTTAAAGTGACGGCCTGGCAGGAAATCCCCCGCTGAACAGGCAAAGAATCAAAGTTCCCGGACCAGGATTAAATCACCCGGCCTCCTGCTACCGCCACACGACTGTCCCCATATGCTTTGACAAACCTGCTTTTAAATAACTCTCACAATGTCATTTGTTCTTTGCGCACAGTGTCTCATGTGGGTGGGTACAGACATACAGCTTGAGGGCCAGGTTTTCATGTGGTGCAATGCCGTTGACTTTATTGGGTGATAAGGGGCCAGAGCACAAAACTGGGGGTTTCAGAAGTATCAATAATGTTGCATTCTTCAGGTTCCTTAAACAATGTGTTCATGGACACTAATGTACATAGATTCCCATTCGGTTTGGTTTGTCCCCTGGGGGAGAAGTAGGAGTTGTAACCCACCCAGCACTGAAATGATATCACCTTTAAAAATGGAAGTATGTGACATGACTTCTCTTTGCTGGGGAAAAAGACGACCATCGGACCAGACACGTCTGTGTAGGTGAGATCTGAACTAAAGAGTAGAGGCCTGCACTGACTCTTGTTTATGTTGATATGAATCAGGAGTGTCTCCTTTCCATTCACTGGAGTTAAATGGTTGGAAAAGCAAATGTGTGGTCTGAATGAAGACCCCGTATGCTGGAAAGTCAGATGCTATCACTAATATAGACAGGTACTGACCCTTCCTATTCCCACAACAGAGAATTTCCCATTTGGTTGCCTGCACACAAGGGAGATAACAAAGATGCACAATATTATGCACAGAATGCCTTGTGCAGCCCATGTACCAACGACTTCTTTCCTTGGCCCAACTTAGAAGTGGAATCTGGCATTCAAACCCAGAGAAAGGGAAGGCAAAGGTTTAACTTGGAAGTATGGCTGAGCTCATTTACAATATCCAAGGATGGGACTTTTCCTTGTTAGAACTGACAGAATATAAGTAGGGTCTGTGTGCGAGGAGGGGAGAGGTTAAAGCCAGTTTGAAAAGGGCCTACAAAGATATTCTGTTAAATAATATACAAGCTGGGTTCAACATCATTAGCCCCTTCTTGTTTACAAGGCAAGTTATTTTGGAAAATACAATGCAAGCTGATGAATGTTAAGAAGAAGAAAATGTAGTGTCTTCCTGGTTAGGGAGAGAATTATCTATCCTCCCACACCAGCCCAGACAAGTCAATCTATTTCCTCCCGCAGCTGGTAGAGACAGGAAAAGAATGAGATTCTGACGACAAGAGCTTGTTGGATCCATCAGCTCCCCTGAAGCAATGGGGCTAAACTTACCCTGAACTGGGTAGAGCTGCCCTTCCTTGTTCCCCCACATGGTAGAGCAGCACACAGGGAAAGCAGGTGTTAATGTCCAGCATCACCTTTCCTTTACCTCTTCTTTTTGCTGCCCAGACAAAAAGGATTGCAAAAGCCCTGGCAGACAGCTAGGCTTTAAAACAGATGGCAGAACCTGCGGACTGCAGCTTTGCCAGCATTGTCATTTTTGTATGACAGTCGTCTTTGGTGTGTTGTCTTAAAGCCCTGGCTCCTGGAGTCATGTGGTTTCAGGAAAATCCTTGAGAAGGTGATCTCGAAGGCTGACTTGGAGTTTATGGCTGTTTGGGACCAGCACTACAAACCAAGCTGCTGTACTGAGCTCCCAATAATAGCAGAAGGTGCGGAGACATTCATCCCAGAGCTGCCTTTGCTTCTTCACCCAGGATGTTGCTGTTAGATCAGGTCTGAAATCCAGCAGAAGGACTTGCCCCTGAGCCAAAAAAGTGTCGTTTAGTCTAGACAGCCCAGATGGTTTGGTTTTCTGTAGGGTAGGTGCCTCTGAAGAACATAGTGGGACACATTGCATGAGAAGCCTTTGGCCTTCCCGTTTCCAGGCCAAAGACACAGGAAAGAAAAGGACTCTGCCGAAAAGAACATTTTGAACTGAACGGACTCACTGTAGAAACTGCCATGGGACTCAAGTTTCCCAGCTGTAGAACGGGGGCAGGAGAGCAGGGAGCATACTCTGAGAGCCTTCTCCGGGGTGAGCAGGGAGCATACTCTGAGAGCCTTCGCCTGGAAGTGTGACGGAAGGGCCTTGTTCAGGATTAGCAGTACCAAAGCAAGGGTTTGTTCTCTTATGTCTGGGCATCAGGTCAAAGCCACAGCACACCCTAAGGGCCCATTTCAGCCATGCTGCTGGAGCACTACCAGGCCTGATAGGGTCCCTTGTCACCCTAGTAGCTGAGCGCATCCCAGGGTGCTAAGAGCAGGCACCTTAACTAAGGTCAGGGTCGCTCAGGGAGTCTCTGAACCAAGGAGCCAGATGTTGGCTGCCTCACTAGGGCAAGGGCCCTAACCCCTGGACCGTCCTTCCGGCCCATGGTATTGAGGTTGTGATAAATGCAGAGCTCTGGGCACAATGAGCAAACAACTCATTGTCACCACAGCTTCATCACGCAACGGGAGCATCAGAGGGAGGGGGAGGAGGAGGAGGGGGAAGGTAGCAGGAGATGAAAATGCAGAAGCAAAGGGACAAATAGCAGAGGCTGAGCCCAGCTGCCACAGGAAGTGGCCACAAGAAATTGGGTAGAAGAGAGATGCAAGAAGGAAAAAAGTGACTAGGAGAGACGGGAGCCAGGGAGAAAAAAAGCAGAGGGAAACTGGGGTGAAAGAACAAGCCCGAGATGGTAGGGAAGAGAAGAGAATGAACAGGTGGGAGATGACAGGCTCAAGTCCAGAGGCCACCTCCCATCCCCCTGCTTCTGGGGTGGGATATACATGTGGCTTGGCAGATGCTCTACAGCTTGATGAGCTTTGGGAGAAACAAGCTGATTCCTTTGGGCCTTTCTGTTCAGGGAAAAAACCAAAAAAAAAATCTCCTAGCACGCGTGATCAACCCCATGGAGCCAGCAGCCCCAGGCACCCTGCCTTAGCTGGAGGATGATTACGCCTTGAAAAAGCATTTCAGATGCTGGCAACCCTGCCTGGCCCAGCACTGCAGGCTGGGCTCCTCTTCAGCTGCAGGCCCCTTCCCAGTCCCCAGCCGCCTACCATTAATCATCAGTGAGTGGGTATGGGGGCGAATGCGATCTTGCTGGCCTCCTGCCAGCTGTTGAGGCTGCCCCTCCGCAGGAAGAGAAACCATGAAAAGAGGGAGCAGGCAGGGAGAAAGGCAGCCTGTGAATGGAAAGGAAACACGACGAGGAGCCTGCAACAAACAGGAGAGGGAAGGAGATGAGGGTGGGGCTGAGGGGAGGAAAATGGAAGAGAAGCAGATGGAGCAAGAGACTTAAGAGTGGAAAATGGGACTTGGAGCCAAAAAAGGAAAAATGGCTCCCAGGAGAGGGGAGGCAGAGACAGGTTCGTAAAGCAGGGAAGAGGAGCGTGAAGACAAAACGCACAGAGCCAGGGAGACATTGCCCTTGCAGCGCAGGTGGTGCTGGATGGAGGTGCTGCACCTGGGTCTGGAAATCCTCTTAGGGCTTGACCAAACCTGGTGTCCCTTCACACCCTTGTCTAGCTGGGTCTGATCATCACCTCCTCCCAGCCTGAGGCAGACCACATGTGATGCTGTCTGACTGCACCTAGCTCCTGTCTCTAAACAACACTGGACACCTGCTGAAGGTAGCCTGTCTTGTCCACATGAAGGTAATGGTGTCTCAGGTGACCCCCTTGGAAAGACCACTGTCCTCAGGCCTGATTCACATATGAGCACAATGAGAGGGGGGAGGCATGTGAGGTTTCTTATCAGCATGGGTGTGCCTGCACAGAAGTACCCCAAACCTATAGAGGTCTTCCCTTTCCCTTATGGGAACAAGCCTCCCCAGTGGACAGCTGCCTTCTGCTACTCCATCAGCATCCAGCTGACTGGGATCTAAACCAATTTACCTACATCAGGATCATTAAAGATGCAACCTTTTACTCCAGTGGCAAACCCAAGGACTCCTAGTAAATATATTTCCCCACTCTATAAAGTGGGGAACAGGGTGGCTAACAGGGGCTGCAAACATCAGGACTTTCACTCCTAGTCCAGCAAAGCAAGGAGCAGACAGAGGAGCCCAGCTGCTCCGACACCTCCAAGGGGGTTAGGTGATTTTGCTTTGCTGGTGTCAAGCCAGGGGCTGAGATGTATAGCTTGGGGCCTGGGTGGGTGTGGCCAGCAGATCGAGGGTGGGTTAAAGCAAGAGCCAAAAAAAAAAAAAAAAAAATGACAGCACCTTCTGTCCATACCCTTAGCCCTGGCACTTGCTTCTTGCAGCCATTTTGATGATTCCCACCCATGTACTCCCCCAATAAAGGCACAGACTTGAACATTGTAGATAGACACCCTCATAAACTGTCCCCTCTCTCCACCAGCCCTGAAACCATCAGGGACCCCACACCAACAGGCTCTAACAATAGTTGGCTCCTGTTCTTCCAGCCCGACGGTGTTGCTGTGCAGCCCAGAACACATTTCTTCTGGGACGCTGGTGAGCAGGTGGGAACGAGAGAATTGGTGTCTATGGTATGAACAGGAAACATTACTTGACTCCTGGCCTTAATTGTTAGCATCTAACAGCCACAGGGGCAAAGTCAACCTGGATTCGGAATAGAGGGGTGGTGGAAATAGTACTTAGCTGCAAACTTAATTGTGGAAATGGCCTGAGTTTTAGGGACACCTAACGGTTGCTGTTTCCGATGCAAAAGAGCTCTGGTGATATTTCCAGACCAGCCTCAGTCCTTCCTAAGGGAAGACAGGTGTCCGATTCAAATGCAATGGCACCTAAACAGGATAAGATCCAACATACCGCCCCCTGGGTACATCCCCCTGCATGCACACGTGCAGCTTGCAGCACCACAAGACGTGCACACATTTGTTACGCTGCTAGTTACCAACGCAACAGGGAGGGGGTTTGACACTAGGAGAGCCTGGTGTCCAAAAAAAAACAAAAATCTGCCACTCAAAAAAAGTGGCATGGGAGCCCAGCCGGCTAAACCATGGTCTGGCTGCTGGCCAGGTTGTGAGCACCTGGATCACTGCTGCTGCTGCCCCCGGGAGGCCCTCTGGTACAGTAAGGCTGCTGCCCCACCCAGGGCAATGGTCCTGTGCCCGGAGTGCACATGCAGGGAGGTGCCCAGGGACAAACAGCAGTAGGACAAATAAATCCTTATAACTCGCAACTCCTTTGCCTCCCTCACTTGGGACCTTTGGCACTAAAACTACAGCACTGAGCATTTGAGGAAGCAGCTGTAGTAGACTCTTGTCCACTTAAAGGGAGGGAGACAAAGATCATGTTCTGTTGGCGCAAGTTACCAGAGAAAAGCCCCAAGAAAATGCTCTTGGCTTACTGAATTGGAAAGCTGAGCTGTTAAATAAATAAACCCACTAATCTAGGCAGGATACAACCTGCGTTTCACTCGCAGCCTTGACTAGCCTCAGTCCCTACACCGTTCTGCAGAACGAAAGATCCTCAGGGATGAACCACCAGGATTTCTGGAGCAGTGACATGTCAATGAAACCGGTTTTCACTTTTACAAACACTTGCTAGCCAGATGCATGCGCTACGGTGGTAACGTTTGGTGAGGAACTCACACTGCCACTACGTGTGCAAAGCAGCGTATGTGTACTACACAAAAAGGTTACCAAGGGGCAACTGTTTGGCTTCACAATCTCACGGCTGCATTTTTCCACAGCTTTCCAAACGAAATCCGAAAACAAGTTCCCCAGATACATAATCATCAGCGGGTCGTTAATCCTCCCACTTCTTGTCTCATCTGTCTTGTGCCCTCTATCCCTGCAGCCATTTGTTGCTATTGCCGAGCAACAGACATTAGCAGCAGCTGGTCTGCAGCGCTACCACAAGCTTTCTAAATGCAGAGCCCTCCCGTTGCCGGCTGCAACTCGGGTAACGTGAGCCAGTTCGTTGTCGATGCTATGCGTGGCATGTTACGACAGGAAAACTCACTGCTTCTTGAAGACACTGAATCCCCCAGCTCAAGCGGTGCTAGCAAGGTTTGGACCCTTGGCCCTTTTGTGAAGATGGGCGGGAGAAGTACCATTGCTTTCTCGCTTTGGAAGAGGCTGAAGTGAGCTGAGATTTTGGGCGGCGACTCTCTGCACCCAGCGCCACCACAGGAGTTGGTGAAGAAAACTCTACTGGCAAGACCCAGTACTTTACTGCCCAACAGGGCTTGTGGAAGGACAGGCCATTGCCCTCCCTGCCCTCCTAGAAAGCAAGTAGTCATCAAGGACAGAGGGCAAGGTCTGAAATTAAGCGTCAGATGTTTCCAGTTGTGATTTAAAGTCAGAGCTGACAGTGCTCTGTGCCTATTAAAACTGGCCTGGCTACTGCTCTGAGCTACCCAGGGCGTGAGCTCCCTGGACTGCCACAGGGCTCACGGCAGGGCCAGAGGGCACACCTCATCTCCCACTGTTTGCAAATTAGAACAGCTCCAGAGAGCACAACTCATCTCCCACTGTTTGCAAATTAGAACAGCAGCCACTGCTGCTCCCTCTCTCCCCTCCCTCCAGCTAATGCTGCAGGGGTAAGCCCAGCTCCTAAGACCTCGGAGACTACGCATGGCATTAAGAAAGCAGCTCAGAGGGAGGAACATCACCCCAGGATTCATTTAGAGTACGTTCTCATACTCTCGTCAGGGGAAAAACGAACTGGGTCTGTTCTTTGCAAGAAGCTTGAAGCCCACCCAAATCCTACCCCAGGACCCCAGGGAGTCAGGAGCAGCACGCGGCACCACCACAACTGTGGACTCCTAGGAACCCGAGGGCCCTTACAGCGTGCCCACCAGAATGTGCCCCAGAGCCGAGGCCACGGATTTCTCTTCCCTGGGGAATGTCCCAGGGAATTTGAGGACAGTGCCATTTCCCCGAGACCTACCTCCCACTCAAGTCACTCCTAACCTCCTTGTAGTGTCCTACTGTGAATAGGTGGGATACCCTCTCTCATGAACAAGGGTAATTATCCCTAAATGGGAGGGCAAGACACCTTCTCTAGGTCGCTGTGGGGGCATCCACACGTGCTTTAATGCAGAGTTGACTGGTTAGCTCTGAAGTAAGCATCCCCGTCTACATGTGTGGCTCTATTAGGCTGGAACAAATTAGGGTGACCAGAACAGATGACATTATGGTTTTCTGCGACTCTGTCCTCTATTGATACAAAACCTGGACGCCTTTAATGTCCTCTATTTTTCTCTTCAAAAGAAAAATAGAGGACATAAAGGCATCCAGGTTTCATATCAATAGAGGACAACCGAACTGTCCTCTTATGACGGCCACACTAAAATTAACTCACTCTGCCATAAGATAACTCTGCCATAATGTCAGGCACTATTTACTCTGCCACAATGCATGTGTAGATGGTGATTGGGGCTGGCTGGGGCATAAGGGTGCTATAGTGCAAAGGCTGCCTGCCAGCGAGCCCCACACTGTAGCACCCTTGTGCCCCAGCCAGCCTCTCCACAACACGTGATGCTGGAGCAGAGCAGCTCTGAGCTGGCAGACGGACCCATGGTGCTCCCTGCCAGCCAGGGCTGCTCTGCCCGGGCTCAATGTGCTGTAATCACAGGTGCACATGTAAACACTGCACCCGGGAGCAGTAAACTCCAGCATGAACTGCAGTTTGGTCACAAAAATGAGTGATTAAAAAAACAACAACCCTGCAATGAGTGTATCTTTTAATTGTTTATTGTATAATATAAAACTACAAAAGTAAGACTGCTCATTTCCATGTACATTTGTCCAATTGTTTTGATTACAGCCCATACCTACATGTGAATACAGTAATCTGGTTTCAGATGTATATGTCTGTAATATTGCATAGAAAAGGCACAGCTCTAAGGTCTGTGGGGGGGGGAGGGAGGGGGAGAAATACAGCCTTCTTTTTGACAATAACAAGCCCTGTTCAACAACCATGCACTGAACATGTCACACTATTTACACCTTTTCTAGAATCTCTGCCTTTTCAGACACTAGTATGGATTACACTTATCCCTCCCAACTTGTAGGTGGTGATTTTTTTCTTTCTTTTTTATTTTATTTTCTTTAAAAGGTTCCAGGACTTGCATTAGGCTTATTTTCAGCAAGAGAGAGAGCAAGCTTAAAAAGAGCTAACTTCTAAGAAATGTTCAGTCCCATTAATATAATCACTGAAAGCAACTTTCACAGAAGCAGGATGCTGAAGCCTGTTTGGAAAAGAAAAACAAATCAACATTCACAACACTTTGGAGTGAATTAGACCATTTGTCAGACAGGACTCACTGCAATTTGCTCTCTTAGTTTCTGAAAAAAAGTGTAAACTTTGGGTTCACAACATTGAGTTTTAAATCATCTGGGCTATTAACATGCAACAGGGAGAAACCAGCTGCAGCGCAAGGTAGTTTGTTCTCACAACGGTCATTTCAGAAGTGGTTCTTATTTTCTAGCTTGCAGCAGGGAATGCGAATAGATCATACTTTGGATTTTTGTTGAACACTATCTTTCTTTGCAATGTTTCTTCTTTTCAAAGGAAGTGCTTCTTCCTTCACATCCAAGGCTGTACAGTCCACTAAGGCTCTGAGAAGCGACTGTATTAGCAGGCGCCCCAATCTTGCAGTCCCTATTGCAAGCCCAGGTCCAGCAGAGTACAACGTGAGTTGCATACAAACTAGGACTGCCTGATCGGGCCTGGTAAGCAATACGTTTAAGCCCATGGAATTAACACGTTGCACTTGAAAAGTGCATTTACAACTGCTACACTGTATCTTACCATGCGCAAAGGTGGCACTGGTTCCACTCTGTTTCCTAGGGAAAGGGTACCATCCTGCAAATATACTCGTTCATGCAGCCCCAGGGGCTTCGGTGGGGCTCCTTGCATACGTGGAGATTGCTTGTGTATCTACAAAATCAGCCCCCAGAGGAAGAGGTGGATCAAATCAAGTGTGCTCCCAGCAGACTTCCCAGGGTCAAATGGGTGTCCCCATTAGAAGGAACTGACACGTCAGGAGGCTGATAGCGATGGCTGATTCTGCATACTGAACTATTCCTCATCCATACCTCTTGCATATTTCACAAACCTGACCCATATTAGAAGAAAGAGGCGAGGGGGGAAAGGAGGGAAGGAAATCATGTGAACCATGCGTATCCCGAATCAAACCCAAATCATTCTCTCTGAATGTAGCTCCCATCCCCTTTTCATACAGATTTACATTCCTACAAGAGAATACATTCCTACCATACATTCTGTACATGTTACAATCCAGATGTTGTTAGCTTCACAATAAAATAAATATATTTACAAAGGAAAAAAAAAAAGGAATAAATAACTTATGAAAAAAACAACAAAAAAAAATCACTTCAAATCCAAAGCTCTTTCATTCTGCTCCCATCTTGTCATTTCATTGCACATCAGTGTCAATATACATCCTCTGGCATACCTCTTGCATAAAGAATACTTAACCTGACTGTTATTCTACAACCGTTGCAAAGATCACACTACAGACAGAAAGTTGCTGCAAAGAGAGTGAGATTCCAGCAAGCATTTCCATCTACAGAGGAAGAGGTTACAGCTCAGAATAAGAATTCCTGACCTTTTGCCTAATTTTACACGTTAGGTGCATCTCTGTGCTCTCAATTGCCTTCAAGTACTATAAGACTTTGACTTCAGCACCAAGGATACACAGATTTCTTGACTGGTAAAACATATTTTGAAATTCTCTCTCCTATTTTGCAAATACCAAGAGACTTCAAAATTACCCCTTTTAGAGCTACAGTTCACTGCTCCAAAAATGGTGCTTATTTGAACTGTTGCCTAACATATGGTATCGGTTTAAACACACCATTAACTAATTAAAAAAAAAAAGGGGGGGGGCATTTCTAAGTTATTGTAAATCAGTTTTGCACAATGGTAAATCAATACACTTACCAAATTATTGTTCTGGGGGAAGAATTAAAACAAAAAAAATTAACATGCTTGTGTGGCTATGTGATTTTTGCACACGTAAACCCCCCCACACAATTCTCTTACAAGGTATGGAAACTGCAGGATGAACAATAACCACAAGTTCCTGAATGCAAAAAAATGGAACAATTATTCCTTATGCCTCCCCCTGTTAAAAATGGCCCCCCAATTCTACACTTGGTTGATGGCATTCTGTGCGAAATAGTAAATACTATTACAGTCCTTGCAAGCAAACAACTGCAAGATCATCAACATTTTGATGCTTCATTGAGTTAGTCTTTAAAAACAAACTAAAGCTGGCTGATTAATTAGAACCCAAAGCATTCCATAATTGTACACAACACATTTCATTCATATTAGCAGTTCCTTCATTGCAATATCTGAAATTCATTGCTTTGTATTGCATTTGTATGCATTATTCATTTACTAGTAAATATATATGGCCTGTTTTAAAGTGCCAATTTATAAAGCTGCCTCCTTAAAAGGCAGATAGGACCCAATTTTATCCATGACAAGAAGTGAGCAGAACTGGCTGAATATTGCCAAATGACATAAAACATAATTTAAAATTTCTTAAATAAATATAAAAGATATTCCTAAAGAAGCCATAGGCATATCGACAATATAGGTTGTAACCTGCACTCAACAGCTAAAGTACCATTGTAAAACTAAAATGCCATAGCAACTTCAGCAACAGGCATGATACATTGCAAATCGTTTTTAAATTAAATGTACACCACAATGAGTTAAAAAAATGCTATTGGTGCAGTAATGAGAAGACTTCTCAGGTGTTACAGGGGAAGGAAACATGCATAGAAAGCTGTGTCTATATTCATTGTATAACAGGTCTATAAAGTGTAAAGCAGGTAACACAGTTGATACAAGAAACCAACCCTACAGGAGATGCCAAGTGATGTAATGCGACTGGCTCCAGTTTCAACAGCAATGGATATTAAAATTAAGTCCATCCAGTGCAGATAAGAGATGAGCTTCACTGCAGTAATACTGAACTTGCCTTTTTCAGCACTTATCAACACAGTGAGGGGAAAAATGCTCCAAGAAAGGGAAAGTGGAATCTTGAATGCAAATGAATTGGAGCAAAGAGCATGGATGCTGCTCTCCAATAAAAATTGCAAAATCATTTTTGTCACTGGTGTGTGTGTTTCCCCTTAAACTTGTTTGCAGTCATTTCTGCTGAGGAGTCGCAGGACTGCTAAAATGCTTACGCAGTTCAAGGAACAAAGAAAACATGATGTTCCAAATAAAACTCTCTTAAAAGGAACAGACATTTGCTTGGCATACTGGCATTAAGATTAAGCTCCCAGTAGCCTTGATCTCACAAGACACCACTTCCAATGAAGTTTCACAACTATTTCCTGCCAACTGTTTAACATAGGTGTTGGAACAGACATGGCTCTAAGTTTTAGAAATCACAGTAGTGCACAGGTGGTTACAGCAGGGAGCAAACATTTGTGAAACAGCCCTCGGCCCTCTCTCAAAGCACTTTTGTTTGCATTCAGGAGACCAACTGCAGGTTTATTTGATCCAATTTTCTCTTTGCACCATACACATATAAAACATTACAACTCTGTATAAAAGTACAAGTGGTTCTTGTACATCTGAATTATGCAGGAACTATGTGAGCAAATCCTATCAAAATAGCTATTTTTTGTGTGTATAAACAGCATTTGTTTTTAGAAAAAACAATATCATAAACTGCAGAATCTGTACAAAAATATAAAATAAATTTGGGCAGCAGTTTCTAAACAGCCATGTAAATGCAACACTTAAAGAGGAATAGTTAATGCCTCCAAAAGGCTGAATTGCTAAATCAACCTATACAGGGCTAAAATGGTACTGAGATTATCTAAATAATAAAATTTTTACCTCTTGCAATAAAACTTATAGAAAAAATAGACAAATATGCACATGCAATTTACAGCTTTTCCCAACATAATCCTTGTGCTTAGCTTTTACAATTTAATTTTTTTGTTGTAATAACATAGTAATATTGTCTACAATACGTATTCTTTCCTACACCAGGGTATTCGGTCTTCCTTGAGGAACCACTTAAAAAAAAAATACATTAAAAGTGGTCATACGTGGATGAAGGCACTCCAACTCTGCTTGAAGCAAAATCTAGTGTGATTTTTTTCTTTTAAAAAAAGGCAAGCAAGGACGCATGCACAGTGCTGTGAATCAGGGGCAGCAGGGTAGGTCAGTGGGTGGGCAGGGACTGTGAAAATACTACCAAGTGAATATACTGGTACAGAAAGTCACTCTGTTTTAAGACCCAACAAGCACCTCCATTATGTGATCCAGTTCTGTGAGGTCCATTTTGAAAGGCTGATTTGGGGTTACTGGTTGACTGCTATAAGGGGCTAGAGTTTTTAGGAGATCATCTGCTGAGACGGGAGCCATTTTTGAGGCAGTCCCTGTAGCAGACGTGCAAGGGTCAAAATCATACATAGAAGTATCAATGTCAGCAAACAGAATATCATCCAAGGTCAAGTCTGTGAGGAAACCTGTGGAAGTTGTTATCTCAAAATTGCCAGGTAGGGAGTCCATTAGTTTTGATTCATTTGTTCTGCTCTCCTGGACTCCCTCAGGTTTTTGAATGTTAGACTCGCAGGAGTTATCTTTAGAGTCCTCTGCTGCTGCTGCTGCTTCTGCTGCTACTACGACTGCCTCAGTAGAGGTAGGTGTTGGACAGAGCTCCTCAATTTCGTCCAAGGCTGAGGAGAAACTGTCCTTTACAGGTTGGATAGCTGGAGGTGGTAGTTTTGTAGGACCATCATGTTGGACAGTCTGGGAAGTGCAAAAAGTGTCGTCCTCAAGCAAAGAGGCTGGGGTGAGGCAAGACTCCAATGGTGTAGTGCTTACAAAGTCAGTGGGGTGAACTGATGGAGAGGCAAGGTGGCTGAACGCGGGCTGGGCCTCTCTGAAGTTGTCACCGAGAGGGTCAGTAGGCTGAGAAGTGGTGATGAACACAGGCCTCAAGCTGCCTTCTTGTTTGAGTTCCTCCTGGATTCGTCTCAACATGTTGTTAATTAAAACAGTCTTTTGCAAGCTTGGCTCTGTTAATGGCCTGTGGTTATAAAGTTTCATAAGGGAAATGTTGAAGATAGTCTGGCGCTGTAAGGTGTAAGACACCTTAGATGGACCGTCAGTAGGAGACACCACTTTGCCTTCCAGCCCATCTTCATGCTCGTCAAACTTCCGCTTTCCTCCTTTCCCCAACATATATCTGGAAAAGAGGAGGGGAAGTCATTAAAAAAGAGCACCAAGTGAAAACATTTATCTTACAGCAAAATGCCTGCCTGTCTTCACACAGACATCTCAGTTTTCACATACTAGCTGCTCAACATAACAGCAAGGCAGACGGATCTTATTCAGACCGCATTGGTGCTGTTTCATACCAGTAAAACTCCATTTGCATCACTGAAATTTCTCCTGATTTACAATGGTGTGATAAGAAATGAAAGTGGGGTAAAGAGAACACCAACCCTAACACCACCAGGCTGCAACTGAAAATAAAATTGAATTTTAAGTTCTAGGTATGACTACAACAGCAACTAGCAGTCAAAACTCTGTAGTGTCTTGCACTCTGGCTTGTGTTAAATATATGCTTTCATCTATCTATACATAAATGGACAATGCTTGGTACAGGTGCTGTATTAACAATTTACTTGAATTTCCTGACCTTTGCATTTATGTTCCCAACAGTAATGCTGTAGTAGTCTGGGGAGTTTTGTACTAAATTTCCCAGATTATTTTAAACTTGGGGGGGGGGGGGGGGGGGGGGGAGGGGGGCGAGGAGTGGCCCCAAGCAACTGTACACTGAAAGAAAATCCTGCCTTAAGCCTGTAGATTTAACTCTCTGGCATTCCAGATACATGCAGAGCGGTTGTGGACTCTCTATCCTTGGAGGATTTTTGGCCTGGCTAGACAAAGCCTTGGCGGGAATGATCTAGTTGGGGTTGGTCCTGCTTTGAGCAGGGGGTTGGACAAGATGACCTTATCCAACCCCCATGAAGGCATCAGAAAAGCCAATGGCACTTTATCGTGCATCAGCAGATGCATGATGAATAGATCCAAAGAGGTGATACTTCCCCTCTATCGGGCGCTGGTCAGACTGCAGTTGGAGTACTGCGTGCAATTCTGGGCACTGCACTTCAAGAGGGATGCAGATAACCTGGAGAGGGTCCAGAGAAGGGCCACTCGTATGGTTAAGGGCTGGCAGACCAAGCCCTATGAGGAGAGACTGGGGCACCTGGCCCTCTTCAGCCTCCACAAGAGAAGGTTGAGAGGCGACCTTGTGGCTGCCTGTAAGGTCATCACGGGGGCACAGAAGGGAATTAGTGAGTATTTATTCACCAAGGCGCCCCCGGGGGTTACAAGAAATAATGGCCACAAGCTAGCAGAGAGCAGATTTAGACTAGACATTAGGAAGAACTTCTTCACAGTTAGAGTGGCCAAGGTCTGGAACGGGCTCCCAAGGGAGGTGGTGCTCTCCCCTACCCTGGGGGTCTTCAAGAGGAGGTTGGATATGCATCTAGCTGGGGTCATCTAGACCCAGCCCTCTTTCCTGCCTATGCAGGGGGTTGGACTCGATGATCTATTGAGGTCCCTTCCGACCCTAACATCTATGAATCTATGAACCTCCTGAAGTCTTTTTCAACCCTCATTTTCAATTATTCTATATAGGAGCCTGTGGTTTTATTTAAATGATTAAATGTGAAAAAAGCTACCAGAGCAGGAAATGCAGTTATAACAATAGTCTCACATCTCAAAAGCAGACACATTCTGAATGAAGCTAAAACTTTCCAGTCATTCATTCCACCCTCTTGCCAATGGCAATTTCTAGAGCACAATCCCCTGTTTAGCATGGCTAAAGAGCGACGGCCAAGATTTGTGAGAGGACCAGTCACTCTTGATCTCTTACTTTTGAGATGCTTTAAAACAATCCAATTGTCCCAAAAAAAATAAATAAATAAATAAAATAAAATCGCTGAGCCCCTGCCCTCTGATAATTAGGCAAATCCAGCATCTGGAAGCCACTTGAATAATGTAGCCTGTGTCTGCCAGAGTATTTATCTCTAGATACTTCAGCATCTCAAACAGGCGATGGCAAATATATAGATAAGATAGTCACCATGTCAATATGAGCACTGCTGTGGCCAGAGAGCTAATCTGTACCACTTCCAAGCTCTGAGTGAGAAGCATTTCATGCCCACATGTGGCAGACAACCAGAACCACAGCTGATGTGTCTACCTGTTTGTATCACTGTGCTCTCAAGCCTGAGTTTCTGAAAGGTGCTGAAAGTCAGTAAGACTCAGATGCCTAAACCTAATGCTGAATAGTCATGACACCTAAATCCTTTGGATGGTCTGAGCCTTGAATTTCCACTTCGTATTAACCACTGGAGCCTACACTACCTTGTGTCACTTTCAGCCCAACAACAGAAAATATTTCCTAGCAATGCTGTCATTAGTTCTTTATTCAACTGCATCTTGCTTATTTGAAGTAATACTAACTGCGTTTGTTTCAGTAGATTGATAACCGACCACTGTCTGGGTATCTTTATCAATAGAAAAGCAATATCCCAAAGCGGTTTCTTCACTGAGGAACACATCCATGTCAAGCTTTAAAGGCACTTCTGAGATACCAGTAAAAGTGTTTTTGGTGTGTTTTTTTAAGTGGTCAACATGAACATACATGCTTTAGATAAATAGTAAGAAAGGAAACAAGGAATTTTATCAAGCTTTCTCCTGAATATAAATCATCGTGCTAAGAAAAATAAAACCTGGTGTTCTTCTGGCCCAGACGTTCTCTTCCAGAAAGTTAATGAACACCTGAAAAAGGCTTTGAAGTGCTCCTCAAACTAGCTAGACTAGTACAAGTACAACCAGACTACTGTCGGCAATACTCATGTGGCAGAAAAATTACCACACCAGAGATGCGTAGCACTAAAGCCAGTGAACAAATTCTCAGGTTGTGACAATCAATGCCCCATACTATACACTGGCATGTATAACCAGGGGTCAAGGAACAAAAAAAAGTCACCTCCCTCTTAACAATGCACATCTTCCATAAGTTCTGAAAGCAAACGCAGAGTTTATTTTGTCTGGGTTTTATTGGAGTCTTAATTAACTCAGAAGAACAGATTCCAATCCCTGCTGCAGAATGTGTTTTTCTGCTACAGATGGCCTCCAGATATTCTTTCAGTGCTTGTGAGATTTCAGTCTCTCTGTCATTCCCCCACCCCCGCCATTAGGCTGCATGGAGCAAATTTACTAGACGAGATGTTTTATCGTATCTAATCTAAGCTGGAGAGAATAGAGGCCATTAGTACACTTCACTTGCCTGTCCCATGGGCTCCATCAATACAGCCTGGGGTAATCCTACAGGAGGGAGGAACTATGCTGCTTGCTGCATGTCATTCCCAACACACCAACTCCTTGTGGAAAGAGGGGGAACCATGCAAACTCAGAGGGGGCAAGCGTATGGGTCCCTGGGGGGAGACAAAGGGAGGGGGGAAGCCAGATCAGCACAGAAAAGCCTCCGATAGGCTCCCATCATCCAGAAGCAGCACACTTCACACCCAGAAGCTGTGCAGCCACTGGCTCCCTGCCACACTTCCCCACTTGCTGGGATAGGGGGAGGGGGATTAAGCAGAACATGCAGAGCGGCAAACTCCCCAGGGACCCACCATTGTTTTACATGGGGATAACAATGCAGGGATTGGAGTTTGCCTTTCTCTTTCTGTAAGAGCACCAGCCTCTAACTGACAACAGATCTCGGGAGAGAAGGGCAAGACAGAAAGGCAAAAAAGACAGCCCTATGGTGCAGCAATGAGCTTCCTGCCCACTCGCCTCCCTCCAGCAAGTTCAGCTGGAGGGTTTTCCTGGGAGGCTGGGCCAAGCACTGCTTCCCCAATCCAACATCACCACAGCTGCTGGAGCAGAGGAGGGAAGAGGCCTGGGGGGATATTTCTTCCCTTCAACAACAGTAATGGGATTGTTGAAGCCTCGCAAGTGTCTCATTTAAGTAGGACCAGCTCAGCCCTTCCTCTAGTTTTGCCTTTTCTATTAAAGAACATATTTAAGAAGGGGTGAAAATTTCAGTCTGCACAATAAAACCAAGTGACAGATGAGATCAGCTCAACATGCACAGCAGGGAAATCACAACAGAAGTCTAAATAGATTTTTAACCCCAAACCCGACTCCTCTCATACAATATTTACTGGGCAGCCAGAAGTGTCAGAGAGACGAAACCAGCTGTCCTCACTGGAGCACGATTCCCAGCTCACCTAATGGGAGTGAGGCCTGAGGAACACTGCCCTGCACGTGCCTGCTCACTAACTGGTTGTGCATCCTACACACAAACTGATATCACCAATATGTCCTCTCTCCTTATCCCCGTACTTGTTCCAGAAGCAGTTCGAAAAGCAAAAAGGCTATAGAGGTCCAGCCAACGGTGCCAACACGTTTCTGAAGTTCACTTAACGTGAAGCCTAAAACCAGTTTAGGGAAGTTAATCTTTTTGGTTAGAAATAAATACCAAATCCAGATCTTTGAGTAATATTTTTTTTTCTCTTAAATAGAAGCGGGGGGAACAAACACAGAGGAACTGAGGAACCAGTAGGCTATAATCCAAGTTTCTTGGCTGGCTACCAAGAATCCCTGTGCCTGGAATCTCGGGTGAACGAGAACTCTGAAATTTAGCACTACCCCATGGAAGTCTGCTTTTTCTCTGCTCCCTAGTGCCAATTTCATGGAATGTGCTCACACTCAATTGCTCCGCCTTTTTTCTTAATTTTATTTTTACATATTCTGTAGTGGCATGCTTTCTTTCCCTTCAAATGGAAAAGCCAGGAACAAAAAGGCAAGGCTAACAGACACAGGGTATATCAAATATGTATCCTTAAGCTTGGCAGTTTTAGAAACTGTGTTGTTTTTTCATAGCTTGTGGACTAAGAAAAGTGTTAAAAGTCTTCTCCTATGGAGAAGGGTTTGAAATTATTAAGTATTTATTGTACAAAACAAACCCTTCTTTCCACTAACCAGAAAGCAGGCAGTTTGGGTGGCTGACCAGCAAGTTACTGTTTATTTGTTTTTCCCCCCCCAATTTTGCTGGCTGATCTGGTTCCTACATTCAAGAACAAGAACTGTGGGACCTGAATCAGGTTTTTAAAATTGACCAACAGTAATGACAGGCTCATCACCAGTAAACAAAATGAGAAC